GGGAGGGGGGAGAATAGGGGAACCCATGGCTGATATGTAGAACTGAATGGTATTGTAAAATATATATATACCCACCTTGCCTGGACACAGGGCTCTCTGCTCTTACTGTTGCATCCCACAGACAGAGAGCCCAAGCTCTGAGCATGATAATAAAGAATCTTTGCTTTTATATATGGGATTTAGTCTCCATGTTGGTCTTTTGGGGGTCCCCACAATCTGGGCGTAAGAGTAGGAAAGGAAATTCTATAACCAGAATAAGTATCCAGTCCAGTAAGGACAAAGAGTTATCCTTTCCATGAAAGAAGTGCTGATTAAAAAGTGGAATTCTTCTCCATTTGAGAGAATTAGCCTCAGGCATGAAACAATCAGCTTCCTAATTGTTTATCCAGTACAATGTGGTCAGCCAATTATCAATATATGTACAACTAATTAGAATGGACACACCAGGTTATATTCATGTATTTCAGCATACTTGTTTACCCACACCTAAGAAGGAAGAAGTTGGAAGGGATTTTTGAAGGGATGGAATGAAGGAATGAAAGGAAATGAGATGTTATATATTTTAATTAACAATTAATAGAAATAAATTTTAAATAAATAGAGTGGCTAGAGAGATAGTTCACCAATTAAGAGCACTGGCTGTTGTCACAGAGGACCTATGTTCCATTTCTAGAACCCACAAGGTAGCAAAAATATTTGTTGTAACTCCAATTCCAGGCATCTCCTGCCTTCACTAGCCTCTGATGGTACTGTGCACAGACAAAAATATCATACAACTAATTGTTTATGTTAGAAAAAGGGAAAGAATGCAATTCTTTACAGTGAGGTCACAACCGTGAGATAGACAGGAGCTGGGGGTAGTTAAAATGAACTCCTTCTGGTCTTGCATGGAAGCAGTTGTGGCCTTCTGCGAAGCCAGCCTTCTCAGAGGCAAAAGCATCCTTGTTGTGAGGTTTATAGACATCATCATAAGCATCCATCTAAAAGTGGAATATACAGTTCTGTTAAGTGACCTTTCCATGAAGTTTTCTGTGCTTGTGTTCTCTATATTTTGTATCTGCAAGAATTATTGCATTGGTACAGTTTATCGTTCAGATCAAACATCAAGCTTGACAGGTCACATATGCTCATGAGCAATCTACTTTCACTCTTTTATTTACCTAATTGTCAGCTAAGACCTTGTGGTAAAAGATGAACAACCCAGAGGCATTTTTTTCTCATTTTTATAATTTATATATGTTTCTGCACTACTTTGAGATATAAATTCCCCTAAATGTCTCTGCTTTTACATTGTTATCATGTTCAGAAATGGATTTGTTAACCTGGTCTGCTTAGGAATAGAGAGAACTGGACCTAAACATGTCCAGACTCCATAAGTAAAATGAACATGTTCCCTTTGTTTAAGAAAAGCATTGCAAAGGCATCCATTACTCTCCCAGCCACCTGTAGGTCAGCAATTTTTCTCCTTTCTTCTGTCTTGGTTATTGTATGGCTATTCTTGGTAGTTAAACTGACTACTTCTAAAAATAACTAAAACTGAAAAAATTGGGTATATCTGTGAGAGATTTTTAAAAGGTTTTGAAAGGAAATACCCATTATTAATGTGGATCATTTGAGGTGGCATCCACCTTCAGCTACTTGGTGAATGGAATGTGCACACTTTTAACCCCAGCACTCAGGAGGCAGAATCAGTTAGATTTACTGAGTTTGAAGCCAGCCTGGTCTACAGAATGAGTTCTAGGGCAACACAGATAAATCCAAACTCAAAATCACCCAAAAAAATCAAACAAAGTATAAGATCCACCTTTAATCTTGATCATACCTTCTGGTGGCAGCCTACATATATAAAAGACACCGAAGGAGGAAGCTCTCTCTCTGCCTGCTTGTCATATCTCTGGCTACCAAGTTCATTCCTTTACCAGCATTAGAGCCTACTTCCTTAAATTTGTGGTATATACTGAAGACAAGCTAAGATATACAGCCTCATGAACTGAACAACTACTGAATTCTTCACATTTCTATTGGTAGCTGCCATTGCTTGACGATCTAAACCACAGTTTGTGAGACATTCTAATAAATCCACTTTATTCCTACATGGAGAGCTTTGATCTACCAGTCCTGATCATATAGAGAACCTTGAATAATACACTTGGTTTTTTGTTTTTGTTTTTTGTTTTTATCTGCCCACTGAGGAATATGTGCTGACAAACTATAGTGCTCATAAACCTATTCTTCCTAGCTCAATTATTCTATAAGTATTCAACTATCTATGAAGACTACTCTTTATTACTAGTCATTTGCCAACAGTTTGCACTGAATTTCTGGAATAAAACTACTAAAGCAATGGATGTATACTTTTGTTTGTGACCTAGTTCCTGCTTTTCTTTGCTGGTTGTCTGAAGTCCCTGTGACAACCAGGTACAAGTACCTTAAGTTCACCTGATATCAGTATTAAGTCATATAATAAACACTTTCCTTGTGTGTATTTAAATTTCTCTTTAGCTGTTAATATTCAAGGCACCCTTTTACCTGTGTGACAGGGAATCACTCCACCCCAATAGTATAGTAATCTGTATAACCTAGCCACATTGTGTCCAGGAGGAAGAAGGGGAAGTTCCTTGGAGTGCAGAAAGATAGCAGGGTCTACTATTGGAGCCAGGGACAAGTGACTGAGAGGAGGTAATGAAGGGTCAAGGGAAAGAGAGCTTAGGGAAGCGGGAGATCCCAGCTGGATCAAGAACAGAGAGGGAGAACAAGGAAAAGAGACCATGATAAATGAAGACCCCATGGGAATAGGAAGAAGCAAAGTGCTAGATAGGTCCCCAGAAATCCACAAAGATACCTCCACAATAGACTACTGGCAGTGGTCAAGAGAAAGCCTGAACTGACCTACTCTGGTGATCAGATGGCCAAACACCCTAACTGTCCTGGTAGAACTCTCATCCAATGACTGATGGAAGCAGATGCAAATATCCATGGCCAGGCCCTAGGTAGAGCTCCAGAGTCCAATCAGCAAGAAAGAGGAGGGATTATATGAGCAAAAATTGTTGAGATCATAATTAGAAAAAGCACAAGGACAAATAGCCAAACTAGTGGAAACACATGAACTATGAACCAATAGCTGAGGTGCCCCTAACTCGATCAGGCCCTCTGGGTAAGTGAGACAGTTGATTAGCTTGAACTATTTGGGAAGCCAAAAGGCAGTAAGATCTGGACCTGTCTTTAGTGCATGAGCTGGCTGTTTGGAACCTGGGGCCTATGCAGGGACACTTTGCTCAGCCTGGGTGAAGGGAGGCATGGACTGGACCTGCCTCAATGGAATCTATCAGGCTGAGCTGAATCCCCAGGGGAGTCATTGCCCTGGGGAAGATAGGAGTAGCGTGTGGGCTGGGGGAAGTGGGGAGCAGGAGGAGAGAGGACAGGAGAATCTGCGGCTGACATGTAAAATTAAATTAAATTATAAAATAAAAATCATTCTGTGTACTATAACAGAGCAGAGATGTAGAACAACATGAGTTCCCAGAGGCTTCAAAACTGTAGGTTCTACTTTCATGCAATCAGGTATGTAGTCTGCTTTGACAGCTTCATGAATGACTTTAGTACAGACCTGGCAACATGGTTATATTGATATTCTACACCTAGCAGTGTCAGGTTGGCATTTCAAATTGAGGCTGAGCACAGTTGACATTGAGAAGCATTAAGAACCCTCACATTCTCTTTCTCTGGGGTGGTTGATTAAAGCAAAATGAGGCTTCCCAGGGGTATAACACACACAGTATCTGTGGGGTAGTCTCAGATGAAAGTAATTCTTCAACTCGGTAAAAAAAAAATCTAGTTGCTGTGTTCAGGAAACTTGAAGGCAATGCATTCTGCTTTAAAGTCTCCACTGACTTTTCCTATTGGTTTCTGTGGGAGCCTGTTCTCGGGTTCCTCGTGGCTTTAACCAGCAGGTCCAAATAGAGGGTGATCAGGACCACGGACCTGAGTGCAGGTGTCTGAGATGGTCTGCACTTGGCTGTGCTGGGAGAGGAGGTCTTTTGCTCCACCCCTTGGCATCTCTATAAAAACCCTGGGGCAGTGACAGTCGGGGCCCATTGGAATAGGTTCCAGGCTCTCTCGAGTCTATCCTTTATTTTCTATCTGTTTATCTCCACAATATTCTCTGCAATAAATCCTTCTATCTAATATTTCCTGCTGCTCACACTCAAGAAAACTCTGGGGAGCTGTGGGGTTGGTGGGCAAACACCCCACAGAATGGCGCTATGCAGGGACTAAAGAAAAAAGAAAAAAAGGGGCTAAAAAGGGGGTATTAAAGAAAAATGAACAGGGACTAAAGACAAAGTAATAGGGACTAAAGATAAAGGAAAATAATAGTTTTATTACAGAGTTTTTGGTGAAAGTGCTGAGTCAGCCCTGCCAGTGGGAAGGTATGCCGGTGTTATGGAAAATATATATATATTTTTTTGAGAGGCAGGGGTTTTATCCTCAAGGGAAAAGGAAAGCGGACTGGAAGAATGTCTGATGCTGCAGTGAAGTTATCTTCTGTCAAAATTTTCTATCTTCTATCCCTTTCTCAATTTCTATCTGTGATAAGTATAAGGCATAGGGTAGTAATATAGTTTAGGAAAAACTTAGAAGTGTAAGATTGTCTAGGAAAAAATAAGTAAGGCAAATAGACAGAAAAACTCAATTTTCTAACTTTGGGGGCTATGAAAGCAAACTGGGGAAAAATCTTTCTTTGGACTTTACAGGTAGTAAAAAAGCTCTTTGCACTTATGGGGAAGAAAAAGTTTCCTATGGAAGCTTTTGACCTGGGGACAGCTGAAATGCTAAATCCAAGCGGCAGAAGAAAGTGTTTTTTTTTTCCTGAGGCAAAATTGGGGGTGTAAGAAGTCAAAGTTTAAAGTTGAATTTTGGGAAAAGTTGGTCTTTCTCTCTCCTGGGGGGGAGGATCTTTCTCTTAAACTATAAAGCTTTTCTTGAAAAATTTGGGGGGAAAATCTCTCTAAAAAGCCTTAATCTTTCTCAAAAGCTCTTAAAAAAACTTAAAAACTAAAGCCTTTCAGAACCCTCTCAGAAGGAAAATTAGAATCACCTGAAGATATTAGTATGGGGACCACCTATGATTAGTTCTACGGGAAAACAAACCTCTTAAGACAGCAAAACCTAAGTTCTTTCAAGTTTTAAAAATCCTCCCTGCAATGCAGGAGGCAGGGACAAGTTTCTAAAAACCTCTTCTAAGCTCTGTCTCTTCAAGCTAGTAAAAGACAGTGGGTCAGAGTACCCTGAGGGAAATGCTTGGGAGAGTGTGGGTAAAGAGCTACAGAGAGCCCAAAAGGACAGGAAACTTTGCCTGAGAAAAGTAGAAAAAGCTTTCCAGTTACAGCCTAGCTGAGGCATCAAGGGTTTTGTTTCTGAGTGAGCATTTCAGAATGAAAAGGTGCTCCTAATCGTCCTAATGTAAAGATCTCCTGAAACAATGCAAACTGTTAGCATTGTATCCTCCCTTCTGACCAAAAACCCAGAAGGCCACTGGCCAGTGTCTCTGAGTTGGAGTGTGTTTCAGGGATACTAGGGTTCCTGCAGTTGTAAACTTCCTGGAGCACAGAGCTGAGGCAGGAAGGTGCAGGACCCAGGGGAAGATTGCTAATGAACAACCAAAGCTAAAGCCGGTGGGAACGGCACTGTTGTCTGCTTTCTTACAAGTCCTGGATGATAGGTCCACAGCTGCAAAAAGAAATCTGAGAAAAAGCTTTCCTATTAGAGAAAGGACCTTTCTGGGAAAACAGTAAAGCTGAACTGTGTCTGAAGCAGTCATGCTGCTGAGTCAGAACACTGGGGAAAGAGCCCAGCCAGGGCAGAACAGAACTATCCAGGAGTAAAGCTTTCTTTTCTATCAGAGAAAGCACCTCTTTGAGAAAAACTTTATTTCAACTGACTCCTGATAAGATGAAGGAGTGTACCCCTGAGGGGTGATTGCCTGTGGCATAAGCTTTGTCCTTGAGCACCCAGACAAGCAAATGCAACTCACTGGGGGACTGGTCCAGGTGAAGCCTGATGAGGCAAAACACCTGTCCTAATGGGAGTTTAGAAATGGCAAA